GTCACGCGTCTCCTTGCTACTGTCGTCACTGACCCCTCTTTTGAGTCCACTGCTGCGTCTGCTCTTGTTGCTGAGCTCGTCGACTTTGCTGCTCGCTGTCGTCTAGACTACGCTGCTAGTCTTGTTGCTGAGTCTGCGTCTGTCTGTACTCCGTCCGTCGGGGGTGAGTGTGCTCTTGGCATGGACGTCCTTGAGGACAGGCTGGAGGAGTTCCAGTGTCTGGCTGCTGCTTCACCTCATCTCGCGTCCGTACTGCTTACCCCTGAGGGAGACCCGGATGCACTAGACATCCCGACTCCGCGCTCTTACGCGGAGGCCGTAGAGGGTCCCTACTCCTCTCAGTGGCAGGCAGCTATGGATGCAGAGATGGCTTCCTGGAAGTCCACAGGCACCTACGTTGACGCGGTTCCTCCTCCTGAGGCGAACATCGTCAGTGGCATGTGGATCTTCAGGGTGAAGCGGCCGCCGGGCTCTCCACCTGTCTTCAAGGCGAGGTACGTGGCTCGTGGCTTCAGTCAGCGGCAGGGAGTTGACTACTTTCAGACCTTCTCTCCCACCCCGAAGATGACCACTCTTCGGGTGCTGCTACACATAGCCGCTCAGCGTGACTACGAGCTTCACTCCCTTGACTTCAGCACTGCTTTCCTGCAGGGTAGCCTGCACGAGGAGATCTGGTTGCGCCGTCCACCTGGCTTCACTGGGACTTTCCCTCCTGGCACCCAAAGGAGCCTCCGACGGCCAGTCTACGGTCTCCGCCAGGCACCGCGCGAGTGGCACGACACACTGAGGACTACGCTTGCGGCTCTTGGGTTTGCTCCCTCTACTGCTGACCCGTCGTTGTTTCTACGCACCGACACATCTCTGCCGCCGTTCTACATCCTCGTGTACGTCGACGACTTGGTCTTTGCCACAGCTGACACTGCTGACTCGCTGACTCGCCCACGTGACTCGCCCACGTGAAGTCCGAGCTGCAGAAGAGACACACGTGCACAGAGCTGGGTGAACTGCGCAGCTACCTTGGCTTGCAGATCACTCGGGACAGAGCACGCCGCACCATTACCTTGACTCAGTCACACATGGTGCAGCAGGTTCTTCAGCGCTTCGGCTTCACGTACTCCTCGCCTCAGGCCACTCCTCTGTCTACTCGCCACTCGCTCTCAGCTCTGCCTTCGGATGAGTCCGTAGAGTCGAGTGGCCCGTACCCAGAGCTTGTTGGCTGCCTCATGTACCTGATGACCTGCACACGACCTGACCTTGCATACCCTCTTAGCATTCTTGCACGCTATGTTGCTCCTGGGAGACACAGACCAGAGCACATGGCTGCAGCGAAGAGGGTGTTGCCCTACTTGTGCAGTACGTCGGGCATGGGGCTAGTGCTTGGAGGGCGGAGTCCAGTGGTCCTCACTTGGCACGCGGACGCTTCTTGGGCTGACGACCAGGCTACGCAGCGGTCGTCACAGGGTTACACCTTCAGTCTTGGTTCCGGCTCTGTTTCGTGGCGGGCTACTCGCTCGTCTTCTGTTCTCGGCTCCAGTTGTGAGGCTGAGATCTACGCCGGGGCCATGGCTGCACAGGAGCTTCGTTGGCTCACCTACCTGCTGACTGACCTTGGAGAGCCGCCTCGTTCTCCTCCAGTGCTGTACGTAGACAACAAGGCCATGCTGGCCTTGTGTGGGGAGGAGCGCCTGGAGCACAGAACGAAGCACATTGCTCTCCGCTACTTTCTTGCTCATGAGTTGCAGCAGCGTGGTCAGTTGCGACTTGCGTACGTGGCCTCTGAGGCCAACACTGCTGATGTTTTCACCAAGGCACTTCCGCCTTGTGATCATCAGCGCTTCTGCACTCAGCTGGGTCTTGTGTTTGTCTTGCCTCAGTTGCTCACCCCTTGACCTTGCTTGTACTCTTACATATATATATACCTGCTCTTGCTTGTTTAGCCTTATATATATATGTTTACCCTTGCATGTGAATTGGCCTTGTGGCCTTACTCTTGTGCTCGGACTGTGTGGTGACGTTGTGATCCACCCTGAGCTTTGTCTGCTTTGCTTGACTGGTCTTGTGACCCCTTGTTCCCCCCCACTTTGCCTATGGGGGTGTGTCAAATTATAATATTGTGTAGGCTATAGTGGGGTAGCCTATATGGGGTACACATTTCTAGGGTTGCATATTTGTATCACTTCCATTCCTTTAGTCGATCATTCTCGTTCTACTTTCCTCATGAAAGGCACGTGTCTATATAGCGGGTCAACCTAGCTAGGCGGGAACCTCGGGAATACGAGGTTGGGTGCAGGTTGAGCAAAGGAAAATTGAAGGAGACGCGGGGTTGCTTTAGAAGCAAGTAAACCGGCCGAACGTGCACCTCCGGAAGTCGGGGTTGTACGCAGGCCTCTGGTTAGGTTTTGAGCTACTCTTTCACGTAAGGCCAACACCCCGCTTGCACTTTTTTTGAAAGGGTGCTCACAAAAACTACTCTTTCTAGTAAGGGTGCAAATAGAATATGGTTTGTCTACAAGTAGCTGAACATTCAAAACTGGTCAAGTTGTTAGTGTTGTATTGAGTTGCGTAGAGAAATTTACGCGTATGATTCAAGTTCGATACTCTTGAAGTAGGCAAATTTGAACGAGGTGGCATTTTCCGCGAGTAATCTTACCATATTCATCTAGATCTAACTCAATATCATCAGTGTTACTATCACGTAACTCTGAAATATCAGTGTGGTATAACCGAACACTTTTTCTTGTAAGGGTTAAAATGTTGACCACTCTGATAAAAAAGGGTGCATCGTCAAACCCAACCTTATAGTAAGGGTCATAAGGGTGAATCACCCTGTTAACCAGAGGCCTGGTTGTACGCGGTTGAGTAAACCCCAGTAAGGACTAGGGTTTTTTCCTTACATGAAACCATATTGTAGTGGTTACTGTACGCGTTATTGAGCCCCATTTTTGCTACCATCGCATATTCCCCCCTGTTATTTTCATTCTTGTCTATATTGTAATGGAATCTTCTCTCTCTCGCTCACTCGATAGCGTAACAACAACTCAGAGAATAACACCTGCCTTCACCAGATGGCTGGTTGCGTGGCGTTACAGCAAGTGAAGGTTTGATCCCAGATGATCCTGCCCATCGCATCGCCTCGCCATGCCGTCCTGTCACCAACACACCATGCCAGGTGGGAGGCTATAGTCCCAATCAGGTCGCGAAGCCACTTCACCTGAAATGTAAATCTGCTATTCCTTGGCACACGAAAGACTTGTTGGCGGTGCAATCAGAAAACAGCTGGGCGGTCAGCTCTGGTCTCCGTCAGATTCCTACAAGAGCACCCTGCATTGCTTGCGGCCACACTTCCGATGAAATCGGACGGCTGTCCCAGCACATCGAGCTTGTCATTTGAAACAGTTCCGGGTTATGCGCAAACGCGAACTTAGACGATCTAACGAAGACGTCACAAACTTATTTCGCGAACTCGCCAATCACCTCTCCCTACTCTGCACCTTCCAACTACCTTACCTCCATCCTCGCCAATCTCTGATCCAGACTTGCATTGCATGTCACACGCGCTCAAATACCCCGAATGATCCTACCAACCGCCACAATGCTTGTGTTTGAAATTGCACGTCTTGGCGTGAATCACTTTTATTGTAATGTTTTCGTGGTAGCATAGCATAGGCCTTTACGGATATTCGCTGTGCAATTGCGGCATTGACAACCATCTCGCGACTTCTCCGTGCTATGGCACGTGGCAGACGGTGGGCGACCGGGACATGTAGATGGCGGACACTGGCGGATCGGACGATGCAGCGCAGCCCACTCGAGACTATCTTCCTCGCGACATTACTTCTCCTCGTCTCGCTCGCCCCCGCTCCGCGCGCCGCTAGTGCCTCACGCGGCCCGTTCGTGCGATCTCGCGGTCGAGACGCCGACAGCTGGCAGCGCGTATTTGACAGAAACGATCTCAGTGACTGGGATGCGCGATTCGCTTTATTAGACGGATCGGATGTGACGAGAAGAAGCAGAGGAGGTGAAGCGATCGCGCGCAGTGCGGATGCGACGGAGACAGCCGAGGCGTGGAGGTCTCCGCAAGACCCGCTAACAACGACGTCGCACGCAAGCGAGCGGCGCGCGGACGCGCTACTATCGCGGATGGATGCGAGGGAGCCGTCGCGGCGGCGCGGTCTGAGCATGTCGTTCCTGCCGCGGCACCACCCTCGGCGCGCGCCCGGCACGTGCTGGAGCCGAACCGAGGCGAAGATGTACTGGACGGTGCGCGGGGGCGGGGTGCGGGACGGTACGCGGGGACGGGGTGCGGGGACGGGGTGCGGGGGACGTCGGGGATACACGCGCACGCTAGGGGGGTGGCGATGCTCGTGCCGTGGGGGCGAAGGAGGGGAGCGTATACAGAGGGGTGACATGTGTGAGGGGTGACGTGAAGGGTACTCTGGGGGGATCGAGATGGGTGGGGAAGTGGGGGATAGCGGGCATGTGGGCGTTGATGGAAGGAACGTGCGTAGGAGCATGGCGCTCACTCGCCTCCTGTGCCGCGCGGCGCGCCTTGTGCCGTGCAGCAGGGGCGGGCTTTGCTGTGGCGAGTGGCCGAGATAGCGAGCTGGGGGCAAATGGGGCAGGGGGAATGAGTTGCCTGGGGATGGTACTGGCATGCTGCTGCCCCTCTCACACCAACTCCCCAGTCAAGAGAGTCAAAGTCCGCTCACCCACTGCGAGCCACCCTTCTCCCCCTTCCCCTCCCCCCCTCCCTCCAACCCCCCGTCTCGCTCCCTTCCCCTTCCCTCCCTTTCCCTTCCCTCTCCGCTTCCCCCGCCGCCAGCCCAGTCCCTTCTCAGTCGCCCTCACTATCCCTAACGCCAACCCCTCCGCTTCCCCACGCCCTCTAGAGTTTCCCTTTTTCCTTCCTACACTACTCTCGTCCTTCAAGACCCCTCGGTCGCTCGTTCCATATCTGCCTCTTTCCTCTCCCCCTCCCCTCCCTCACATATCGCGCCACTATGCTGCCTTACCTTACCTATCCCCTTGCCGCAATCACCTCTCCAGAGCCACCCGGTGACACGGGTCCCTCTTTCGGCGTCTGCATTGACACCAACCAAGCCAGGGCTCCCCCTCCACTGCTCTGCCCTCTACTTTCTCTCTCGTGCCCTGCTTTCCAAATTCCTTCTTTCTCGCTCGTGTGCCCCTCTCATCCCTCTCATTCTCCCCACCAAGCCTCTACCCGATTCCCTCCAAACACCCCGCCCCATCCCAATTTTCGCACCTCACCTTCCCCTCATCACCCACTCGCCACCCGTCTCCCTCACCCCAATCTCCCATCAATCTCCGTCCGCCTCGCCCCTGCCCCTCCCCACTCCTCTCTCCCCCCTCCGTCGTTCTCCCCCTCACCTCATCCCCTGCACTACACGCGCTCGCTCACAGTGCGCCACCCACCACGCGCGCCCGTAACCACCACCCCAACCACCCATGCGTCCACCACACCGCACCCCAATGCCCTGCCCCTCTCCACTCCCGCCCATGCCCCACTCACGCTCTGCTCTCCATGCCTAACCATGCTTCCTCTGCTCTCCATGCCTAACCATGCTTCCTCTGCTCTCCTCCCCGCCACCCCGATCCCCTCTTGCCCCCCTCTCCCCCTCCTGCACTGCCCGTCGTCCCTCTCTCCCCTCCTCTGTGCGTGCAGGCGGTGAAGACGCGCACGGAGGCGGTGTTCTTGGAGGCGCTGGTGGAGTACCGCAAGATGCATGCGCGCTGTGTCAACGGCGTCAAGGACTGGGAGGCCTTCTTTCGAGACAAGTCAGTCCTCCCTGCCCCTCCCCACCCCACCCTGCCCCCCGCCGCCCACCCCTCTCTCCGCTCCGCCCACGCATCTCACTTGGCCCACGCCACTCTCTCACCGCACTGCTTACCACGTGCTGAGGGCATGCCATACACGTTCTTGTTTTCACCCCACCACAGTAAATGAGCTCGTATCGTATGACACGCACTGACCTGAGCGCCTCGTTGCCTTGTGGCCCAAGCCTCTCAACCTTGCTCACTGTCGCCGTCCCTGCACTCCCCCATGCACTCCTCGTGCTCGCACCCTTGATGCCCTGTCGCTTTCACGTGCACTGCATGCGAATCCCATTCCACGCCCATGCTTGCTCATCACGGCACTTGCAGCACTGCTCTCCACCTCTCACCATCCTGCCCTTCAAACAACCTCCCTCAACCCTCACTCCTCTTACTCCATCCATCCATCCATCCATCCATCCATCCATCCATCCATCCATCCATCCATCCATCCATCCATCCATCCATCCATCCATCCATCCATCCATCCATCCATCCATCCATCCATCCATCCATCCATCCATCCCTCCCTCCCTCCCTCCGCAGGGACAACGGGCAGCACCCCAATGCGGACGTGGACGGTTGCAAGTACCTCTTCTGGATGGCACCAGGCTATGCGGGTGAGCGGGCTATGCGGGTGAGCGGGCTATGCGGGCCACACACGGCCATGGCCTTGGCAGGTGCTTGCAAGCAGGTTAGGGAGGTTACAGCATGCCATGCTACTGTGGCTGTGTGCATGCGTGTGAAGTCAGTAACGTGCCACGAGTGGGGTTTCCCTCATGGGTACATGTCGTAGTGCAGCGGATGCATGGTGCATGCATGTGTGGGTGGTGGTGTGGGTTCGTGTGATAGTGCTGCCGGCCGACACATGGCCTTGTGCTCGTGCCTTGCACACACACCACCGACCATGCATGCACAGAGTGCATGCATGGGAATGGACACGTCGGGTGTGCACACACAAACACATACTGACGTGTAGCATGCTGCACCGCACCTAGCATGAACATGGCATGGCACGATGAAAGGAACACTCACCACGGGTTTTGGTTGGCCGGGTGTGATGTGCAGAGGCTGGCTGATTGCCACTGCACATGAGTGCCCCATGCAACCTGCCTGCCCCATGCACCATGCACCATGTACAATGGACCATGCACCATGCACTGTGCCCCATGCTCCATTCACCATGCCCCATGCACCATACCCCATTCACCATGCGCCATGCATCATGCGACAGGCCCCACCATGATCCATGGAAACAGTTCATGCCTTTACACTGTTCTGCCTCGCTCAATCCATTCCCACCTTTTGCCGCGCATGCTCTTCAACCCCTTCTCTCCGCGTCCTCCCTGCTCTCCACTTCCCTTCCCGCCAGTCCCCTCCCCCCCTTCCCTCCCCCCCCCACCCCACCTTCCCCAGGTCTGGGCAACAATGTGATGTCGCTCGTGTGCGTCGTGCCATCACCCTCGCCCCAAACCCTTCCCTACCTGGGCTCCTCTTCTCCCTTTCCTGCTCCCTCCACCCTCCCATCCCCGTTTTCCTCCCCCTTCCCCCTCCTCCCCCGTGCAGGCCTGGGCAACAATCTGATGTCACTGATATCGGCCATGACGTACAGTCTGCTGACCAACCGTGCCATCATCCTGGCACCCGGCACAGACGTGGCGTCCTTCCTCTGCAACCCCTTTGACGACTCCAACTGGGCCATCCCCGCGCGCCACTACAAGTCAGCCACCCTTCACCCTTCAGCCCCGCCCGCCCATGCTTGCTGTGGAGGCAGCGGGGGGTGCGCGGGTGGGAACATGGGGGCTGGGAAGAAAGGGGTGCAGGCAGGGTGGGAGGTGTGGGGCTATGACCATGGGGAGAAGGGGAGAAACGAATGAAGGGCATTCTGTCATCAATCCGTGTGAAATCGTGTCCCGTGTGAGCCACATGTGTACAGCGTACTGTTCTGTTGTGCACATGTGCCTGCCAACATAAACATCTGTGTCACAGCCCGGTGTGCTCCGCCCGTGCCAAACCAGTTGAATCATCACTGATCGAAGCGAGGTTTTCTACTGTCTTGCTCCGACCGTGTCCATCCAGCCTGGCTTGGCTTCAGCACGGGCGAACCTGGCCGGCCTCTCGTGGCCGGATGGGGATCTGTGCGCTTGTAGCCGTGTGCCATGCACATCTCCCACTTCTCCCTTCCTTCCTTGCTCATCCCCCCCACCCCCCTGGGATCGACGTCTTTCCCAATGTTCAATCTCAACAAGCATCACAGCAAACAGGCGAAGACGTAAAGACAGGTCGGTCCAGGTTCTATTCGACTGTAGTGGTTCATTTAATGGATCGTTGGGTACCGTTATCTTAAAACTCTCCACCCTTTTGTTTACCGTTGCGAATGCGTGTGGGTTTGTGTGTGTATGCGCGCCCCTCCCCCACTCCCGCCCTCCCTCCCCCCTGGTGGCAGGCACGTGTACCTGATGTTTCAGAAGCAGCCGCGCGTGATGGAGTTTGCTCGCATGGCGGCCAACGGCACTCAGTGGAGCAAGAAGGCCGCCTTCGCTGACCTCCGCTTCTCGTACGCACGCCATCTGCACACATGCACACATGCACACATGCACACATGCACACATGCACACATGCACACATGCACACATGCACACATGCACACATGCGCACATGCACACATGCGCACATGCACACATGCACACATGCAAACATGCACACATGCAAACATGCACACATGCACACATGCACACATGCACACATGCACACATGCACACATGCACACATGCACACATGCAAACATGCACACATGCAAACATGCACACATGCACACATGCGCACATGCACACATGCACACATGCACACATGCACACATGCACACATGCACACATGCAAACATGCACACATGCACACATGCACACATGCACACATGCAAACATGCACGCATGCACACATGCAATCATGCACACATGCACACATGCAAACATGCACACATGCACACATGCGCACATGCGCACATGCACACATGCGCACATGCACACATGGGCACATGCGCACATGCACACATGCACACATGCACACGTGCACACATGCACACATGCGCACATGCGCACATGCGCACATGCACACATGCGCACATGCGCCCATGCGCACATGCACCCATGCACGTGCACACATGTGTGTGGTGCATGCCTTTGCTCTCTCCACTCTTCTCCCTTTCTCCACCCCTGCTGCCAGGGACATGGTAAGGCAATCTTCCTAGCATGTGTGCCAAAAACTATGGTTTCACGAAATTTCGTCTGCCAATAGATAAAGAGCACTGTGAGAGGGAATTTGCTTGGCAGGCAGGGCGAGGCGAGGACAGGTTGCATGGCAACATGGTTGCATGGCAACATGGTTGCAGGGCAACATGGTTGCAGGGCAACATGGTTGCAGGGCAACATGGTTGCATGGCAACATGGTTGCATGGCAACATGGTTGCATGGCAACATGGTTGCATGGCAACATGGTTGCATGGCAACATGGTTGCATGGCAACATGGTTGCATGGCAACATGGTTGCATGGCAACATGGTTGCATGGCAACATGGTTGCATGGCAACATGGTTGCATGGCAACATGGTTGCATGGCAACATGGTTGCATGGCAACATGGTTGCATGGCAACATGGTTGCATGGCAACATGGTTGCATGGCAACATGGTTGCATGGCAACATGGTTGCATGGCAACATGGTTGCATGGCAACATGGTTGCATGGCAACATGGTTGCATGGCAACATGGTTGCATGGCAACATGGTTGCATGGCAACATGGTTGCATGGCAACATGGTTGCATGGCAACATGGTTGCATGGCAACATGGTTGCATGGCAACATGGTTGCATGGCAACATGGTTGCATGGCAACATGGTTGCATGGCAACATGGTTGCATGGCAACATGGTTGCAGGGCAACATGGTTGCAGGGCAACATGGTTGCATGGCAACATGGTTGCATGGCAACATGGTTGCAGGGCAACATGGTTGCATGGCAACATGGTTGCATGGCAACATGGTTGCATGGCAACATGGTTCCATGGCAAGACAAGAGAGGGTAGAGCGGGTTCAACGCTGCTGTCATGCTCTCAATACATCTCCCGCACTTCCTCCCTCTCCCTTGCCCATGTGCCTGTGCTGCCCCTGCAAAAGAATGCCTCTCACGGATGTGACAAGGATAGCACAGCGTGTGTGCGTGCACCGCCCTTAGCCATGTACCCCTCCCCATCCCCCTCCCCACCAACCTTTCAACCCCCCAGGTACGGCGAGGAGGACTGGAAGTTCTTTTGTCCGGGAGTGCAGGCGGCGATAGAGGAGGCGCGGTTTGTGGCGTTCTACACGGATGAGTACACCGTGCCCGGCTTCTACCTGCTGCCGCACCTGCAGGTCACACATGCACCCGCACTCACACACATGTTCGCTCACACGGTGCCGTGCCATGCTGTGCCATGCCGTGCCATGCCGTACCATGTAGTACCGTACCATGACATGCTCTCCTCGCGTGCCATGAAGTCATGACATGCCCCGATGGCAACTTCCTTGTACCGTCCGCTCCTTCCGCCTTCCACATGTCTAGCTGCCCATGACCACCACTGCTGGTCCCATGTGGTCCTGCTTCGCTTCCCCGCTCTTTTGCCATTGTACCGTGTCAACCTTCTCCCCATGCCCTTTCTCTCTTGCTTCACTCTTTGTCTCTCTGCCCTCACGCAACCCTCGACATCCTTCTCCTTGCGCCCCTGCAGGCGCTGCTGCAGAAGTGGTTTCCGGACGGGAGGGTGTTTCTGCACATGGCGCGAGCCACACTGCAGCCGGCCAACTACCTGTGGCAGCGCATCACACGCGTCTTCCACGCACACCTCAAGCACCACAATCGCCGCGTTGGCATCCAGGTGCATGCTCGCACACACATTGCGTGCCGTGCCATGGCGTGCGTGCGTGCTGTGCCGTGCCATGCTACCCACCGATCCTATCCATTCGTGTCATCACTCCATCTACTTGTTCAACCTCCATATCCCATCTCCTCCAACCCCTTCCCGCTGCCCCTCCCTCACAAACCCCTCCTCCTCGCCTCCAACCCCTTCCCTCCCCACACTGCTGTCTCGTGCATGCCCCATGGCATGGCACAGGTGCGCACGTTCTACCGGAGGGACACGGACACGAATCCGCGCATCCTGGAGTGCGCTGTCAACGTGTCGGGGTACCTGCCACGCCTCTTCTCCCCCGACCAGTGGGACGCCCTCACTGCCAATGTGAGTAGCGCCGCCCATTTGAGCAGGCAGCGACAGCGCGCGCGATTGCTTGCACTATGCAGGCAGTGCGAGCGAGAGCAGCTGATGAAGAATGTCAGAGACATACCAACCCCCTTGTTCTGATCCTGTTGCTTATCAACCCGTGTCCCTCTCGTCCCACATCCTTGGATCTTAGCCTGTGAAATCGGATTTCAAGTTTGAATATAACTACTTCGTTAGCCCGAGTTCTGTGTACTTCTCAATTGTTTGTTTGCGTTTTCTAGTATTCATAATTGGGCCAGACACCGACTACCATGTGAGCTATGCCTCGTGTGGCTACAAGCCCCAAGTCTATGCGAGCTATGCACGACTGCTCCTGCCCCACAGCCTTCATCCGCACTATCTCCTGCCTCCTTGCCTCCCGTCCTCCCACCTCTCTTTCCCGTCTCATGCTCTCTCCACTCCCGTCCTCCCCTTCCCCACCCTCCCACCCCCCCAGCCGGACTCGCGCATGCAGGCGATACTGCGCAACCCGTACCCGCGCACGGTGGGCGTGCTGCTGACGTCGCTGTCGCAGCACCACATGGACTACCTGCACGAGGCCTTCTCCACCCATGAGACCGTTGACGGCACCGTTGTTGCCCTGCACAGGTGCCACCGCATGCACATGCACATGACACACACATGCACATGCACATGGGTGATGCTGCGCGGACGAGAGCGGGAGTGGGGTGGTGGAGGGGGAAGTGGTGGGAGTGCGCGGGCTTGCAGTGGTGGGAGTGCGCGGGCTTGCAGTGGTGGGAGTGCGCGGGCTTGCAGTGGTGGGGCACACCACACCGTCCACCGCCCCTGCCTTGGAATTCATAGCACATATTGCTTGGGAGTGCGTGTGGAAGGACGCCGTCTGAGGGCTTCAAGGGCGGAGGAAGTGCATGAGGGTGTGGGAATGGGAGGTGTGATGAGGGGCGCTTGTGAGTGCGCTTGACGTGCCTCACACGGCGTGGCGTGATGAGAGGCCCTGTGAGTGCGGTGCTGCATGGCGTCACCACTGTCCCACACCACTGGTTCCAGCTCACACTTTGCACAGGCTGAACGCACACCGTGCAGTGCAGCAGTCACGCCCGCCTGTATGCACTGGACATGACACGATCAGTATGTGCTGGTTGCCCTTGTATGTTGCTCTCGTCTAGGTCCTGTGTTTTCTCTCCTCACTGCTCCTGCACACCTGCAACCTGCAACCTTCGCATGCCCCACTGCGCGCCTGCTGCTGCTCGTCTGCCCTCCCGCTTGCTCTGCAGTGAAGGGCACGAGGGGTTGGAGAGAGCGAAGCTGAGGCAGCACGAGAAGGCGTTCCTTGAAATGTGGCTGCTCAGCTTCAGGTATGCGCGCACTCAGCTTCAGGTATGCGCGCACTCAGCTTCAGGTATGCGCGCACTCAGCTTCAGGTATGCGCGCACTCAGCTTCAGGTATGCGCGCACTCAGCTTCAGGTATGTGCGCACTCAGCTTCAGGTATGCGCGCACTCAGCTTCAGGTATGCGCGCACTCAGCTTCAGGTATGCGCGCACTCAGCTGCAGGTATGCGCGCACTCAGCTTCAGGTATGCGCGCACTCAGCTTCAGGTATGCGCGCACTCAGCTTCAGGTATGCGCGCACTCAGCTTCAGGTATGCGCGCACTCAGCTTCAGGTATGCGCGCATGGAGCTTCATCATTGTGCCTTCAAATCCCTCATGTCTGTTAATAGCTCCACCATCCTTCTCCGCATGCCATCTCTGCCTCACTCGCTCTCCTCTTCCTGCCACTTGCTGTCACACGCACCATAGTGCTCCACATCTGCCCCACGTCCACCTTTCCCCTTCAACTGCACCTTTGTCCCCTTTCCTGCCCCAATTCTCCCTTCTTCCCTCCTCCCATCCCCCCTCCTCTCCCCACTCCCCTCCCCCTCCCCCCCCTCGTTTCTGGGCCCACCAGCGACCAGCTGCTGGTGTCGGACGTGTCATCATTCCTGCCCAACGCTCCCTCACTTCCTCCCTACCAACCCCCACCCCCCACCCCGCCCCTCCCACGGCGAGCACCAGCGACCAGCTGCTGGTGTCGGACATGTCATCGTTCGGGTACATAGCATCGGGGCTGTCAGGGCTCAACCCCTACTCGCTCAACATCGGCTTCCGCACCGCGGAGAACCTCAACTGGTACATCAACCGCCGCCCCGTGTGCGCGCGCTCCTCCTCCGAGCCCTGCTTCCTCACCCCGCCCGCCTTTCTCAAGGTCAGTGCACATGCCGCTCCACACAGGGGCGCTGGTGAGGGGGGCATATGGGGGCGTTGGGGGCGGTGTTGGGCTGGGCCTGCCATGTGGGCTGGGCTGCTGAACAGCGTTCCTGGAGCTGCTGCTGTGGTGATTCCATGTCTACTATACCTTGCACTGCATGCCTATGCCTTGCACTGCATGCCTATGTCTTGCACTGCATGCCTACGCCTTGCTCTGCTCGTACCGTATGTTTTTTACACTCATTTATCTCCTCTGCTACCCTTGCTCCTCATGTCCTTGTTTTCAGTGTGATGGTTCTGAAGTGAAAAAGGAGCCTTTGGAGCTAAGTACAAGGATTAGAAAATGCTTGAACATTAATAGAGGAATCGAAGTGGATATTCCACTGTTTTAGACGTGAAAATTACTTTCCTAAGGATTAGAAATAAAGGTTAGTTGGATGCAGCTAGTTGCAGTGCCCATCACCCATTCCAAATAATAGTTACAACAACCGTGTAATATTGTGTGACAACTATGTCAAACTCATATGGTATAGTCTGTGTAGGTTGTAGTGGGGTAGACAATATGGGGTACAACACTTCTAGGTTTTCCTACTTGTACCCACCTGTTTGTTAGTTCATTCATTCCTCATTTCTTCACATGGTATAGAGCAGGTTCCCTAGTGGGAACGCTTCCTTGGGCCCACCACTGAAACTTTTTTTTCTGATCGGAGCGACAGTCGCTCCTGCCCGAGGCGCGCCTTGTGGGCTGCCCTTCTGTCGAGCTCTCTTAGAGGCCCCTCTCACGGCCCCTCGCGCCACCCTTACCGGCCCCGTCGCCGCCCTTCCAGGCCCCTCGCGGCCCCTAGCGGCCCCGTCGCCGCCCCTACGCGGCCCCGTCGCCGCCCCTAGCGGCCCTGTCGCCGCTCCTAGCGGCCCCGTTGCCGCCTCCCTCCCTACGCGGCCCAGTTGCCGCCCCTACGCGGCCCCGTCGCAGCCCCTAGCGGCCCCGTCGCCGCCCCTACGCGGCCCCGTCGCCGCCCCTAGCGGCCCCGTCGCCGCCCCTAGCGGCCCCGTCGCCGCTCCCTCCCCTACGCGGCCCCGTCGCCGCCCCTACGCGGCCCCGTTGTCGCCACGACGCGGCCCCGTCGCCGCCCCTAGCGGCCCCGTCGCCGCTCCCCTCCCTACGCGGCCCCGTCGCCGCCCCTACACGGCCCCGTCGCCGCCCTTAGCGGCCCCGTCGCCTCCTCCCTCCCTACGCGGCCCTGTCGCCGCCCCTACGCGGCCCCGTCGCCGCCCCTAGCGGCCCCGTCGCCGCCTCCCTCCCTACGCGGCCCCGTCGCCGCCCCTACGCAGCCTCGTAGCCGCCCCTACGCGGCCCCGTCGCCAACCCTAGCGGCCCCGTCGCCGCTCCCCTCCCTACGCGGCCCCGTCGCTGCCCCTACGCGGCCTCCTAGCCGCCCCTACGCGGCCCCGTCGCCGCCCCTAGCGGCCCCGTAGCTGCTCCCCTCCCTACACGGCCCCGTCGCCGCCCCTAGCGGCCCCGTCGCCGCCCCTACCCGGCCCCGTTGCCGCCCCTAGCGAGCAGCCGAGCCGCCGAGCCGCCCAGCAGCTGAGCCGCCGAGTCGCCCAGCAGCCGAGCCGCCCCTGGAGCAGCCGCCGTTGCAGCAGCTGCCCCTGGAGCAGCCGCCACTACAGCAGCCGCCCCTGGAGCAGCCGCCACTGCAGCAGCCGCCCCTGGAGCAGCCACCACTGCAGCAGCTGCCCCTGGAGCAGCTGCCACTGCAGCCGCCGCCCCTGGAGCAGCCGCCACTACAGCACCCGCCCCTGGAGCAGCCGCCACTGCAGCACCCGCCCCTGGAGCAGCCGCCACTGCAGCACCCGCCCCTGGAGCAGCCGCCACTGCAGCAGCCGCCCCTGGAGCAGCCGCCAATGCAGCAGCTGCCCCAGGAGCAGCCGCCATTGCAGCAGCTGCCCCTGCAGCAGCCGCCACTGTAGCAGTCGCCACTGCAGCAGCCGCCCCTGGAGCAGCCGCCACTGCAGCAGCCGCCCCTGGAGCAGCCGCCACTGCAGCAGCCGCCCCTGGAGCAGCCGCCACTGCAGCAGCCGCCCTTGGAGCCGCTGCCACTGCAGCAGCCGCCCCTGGAGCAGCCGCCACTGCAGCAGCCGCCCCTACAGCAGACGCCCTTGGAGCAGCCGCCCCTGAAGCAGCCGCCCCTACAACTGCCGCCCCTGGAGCAGCCACCCTTGCAGCTGCCGCGGAGCTCTCGCTCTACAGTGGTAGCGGCATCGCCGTTGCCGCCGTCGTACGCCTGCCCTTCTCGCCACTGGTGAGCACCGCCCTGCGCGTACTGCTGTTACTGCTGCTCTTACTGCTGTTGCTCTTTCTACAGCTACTGCTGCTCCTGGCGTGGCCAGATGCAGCTCCAGCGTCGCCCGCGTGAGTCCCTCACCCCCCAACAGCTTCGTGAGTGGTACGCTAGTTGGGGTTGTCGGGGTGGCCGTAGTGGGAGTCGTCCTGGAGTGAGTCGTTCCACAGCTGCTTGTAGTGGCAAGGTGCAGCTGTAGCGTCGCCCGCGTGAGTCCCTCACCCCCCAACAGCTTCGTGAGTGGTACGCTAGTTGGGGTTGTCCGGGTGGCCGTAGTGGGAGTCGTTCTGGAGTGAGTAGTGCGGAAGCTACTTGTAGTGGTCAGGTGCAGCCTCAGCGTCGTCCGCGAGTGGTCCTTTCGCCCCAGCAGCTTTGTGAGTGGTACGCTCAGCGTGACGGGTCACGGGGTACTGCTCGCTGTCCGTACGTCATTCGCACAGGTGCTCGGACTGGTCAGCCTTGCGGGACATTTGGCCACGCAGAGTCGCACTCCTTCGCTCGTCTCAGCGACGCCTGGTGTACGAAGTTTCGCGACGCGGCTAAGCTCCCCGACAGGGTGGAGCTGCTTCGACTGCGGGTATATATCTATAGTCTTGACTATGATGCTATCCTCACTGCCATGTATGCATTGCCTACTAATGATGAGGGTGACTGTTACCTGTGTGTTCCGCCTGACCCGGGCATTGAGGCTGCTGTTCTAGGTGGTGGTGAGGATGCTGCTCTAGGTGCTAGTGCGTCTACTGCCCCAGGTGCTGGTGAGTCTGCTCTCTCAGGTACTACGTCGGCTCAGGCCTTACACACCTTCACCCTTGACTCGGGTGCTTCCCGCTCCTTCTTTCGAGACTGCACCACACTTACGCCGCTTAGTCGGCCGGTTGCGGTCTCCCTGGCGGACCCCTCTAGGGGTCATGTCCTTGCTAGCTTCTCCACAGTCTTACCGTGCCCGGCAGCCCCCTCTAGCACCCTGTCAGGTCTCTACCTCCCCTCGTTCTCTACGAACTTGGTGAGTGGAGCTGATCTACAGGATAGGGGGGTTGACCAGTTCACTCCTGCGAGTCAGCGGTTGACCCACTGCACGTGTGCTCGGACAGGCCGACACTTGGCCATGTTCACCCGTCGACCGGGGTCGAGCTTGTACACACTTACTACTGAGTCTCCTCCGAATACTGAGTCTGGTCAGGTAGCTACGTCGAGTCAGGTGTTTGGTGCAGCGTCGAGGTCTGGTCCTGAGTCTGCTCCCTGCTCGTGTCGTCTTCGTTCCCACCAGACTCTCCTTTGGCACCACTGCCTTGGTCACCCCTCCTTGCCTCGTCTCCGAGGCATGGCCTCCCGTGTCATTGTCTCGAGTCTCCCCCGGTCTCTCCCTCCCCTACCTCCGGGACCTGCCCCTATTTGCGTCCCCTACGTCAAGGGGCGACAGTGCGCCGCCCCTCCCTCCGAGTTTCCTCCGACAGAGGCTCCGCTGGAGACTCTTCACATGGACGTGTGGGGCCCCGCCCGCGTCCGTGGCCAAGGGCACGAGCGTTACTTCCGGTTGGTGGTTGACGACTACTCACGTTACACCACAGTCTTCCCCTTGCGCAGCAAGGGTGACGTCACTGAGGTGTTGATCGACTGGATCCGCGCAGCTCGTCTCCAACTCAGAGAGAGTTTCGGCTCGGACTTTCCTGTTCTGCGTCTGCACTCTGACAGATGCGGGGAGTTTTCCTCTGCCCGTCTGGGAGCCTTCTGTCGAGCACAGGGCGTCCGCCAGACCTTGACGCTTCCGGCCTCTCCACAGCAAAATAGGATTGCTGAGCACTGCATTGGCATAGTCATGGACGTCGCTCGTACGTCCATGATCCATGCGGCTGCCCCCCATTTTCTATGGCCGTTTGCGGATCAGTACGCAGCGCATCAGCTCAACCTTCAGCCCCGGGTCTCCTTGCGAGAGACCTCCCCCACCTTGCAATGGACGGGGAAGGTTGGCGATGCGTCTGCGTTTCGGGTTTGGGGATCTCGGGCGTTTGTCCGCGACTTGTCTGCGGACAAGCTGTCCCCCCGTGCTGTTCCCTGCGTCACCTTGGCTTCCCCCCTGACGCGCCTGGGTGGCAGTTTTTTCACCCCACCTCGCGCCGTGTTCTGTCCTCCTAGGACGTCACCTTTGACGAGTCGGTGCCTTACTACCGTCTCTTCCCCTACCGCACTGCTCCCCTTCCCCCGCCGCCGCTCTTCCTTGCGCGAGGTCCTCCCCCGGTAGACCCCCTCCCCGCTCAGGGTCCTGCCCCGTGAGGTGTGTCCCAGGTAGACGCAGTCGAGCCTGTCGAGGTAGCTGTTGACTCTGGTGCTGCTAGAGGTGCTGAGCCTGCGGGTGCCGGGTCTGGGAGTGCTTAGTCTAGAGGTGCGGAGGCTGGGGGTGCTGAGCATGGGGGTGCTGAGTGTGGGGGTGCTGAGTCTGGGGGTGCTGAGCCTGGGGGTGCTGAGCCTGGGGGTGCGAAGCCTGGGGGTGCTGGGTCTGCTCATGTGGCCTCTCGCGGTGCTTTGTCGAGGCGGGAGCCACTCTCTCCGCAGGAGCTGCACGAGTGGTTTGCTCGGCGCTGGAGCCGTGCTACTGGAGCTGGAGGTAATACTGTTGCAGCTGGTCCCGGAGGTACTAGTACTGGCGGTGCTGGAGCTGCTGGGACTGGGGGTGCTGCTGGGGCTCCTGGAGTTTGTCCTGCTGGTGGTACTACTGGAGCTGCAAGCGGTACTGGAGCTGCCAGTCCTGTTGGAGTTGGTGCTGCTGGAGCAAGAGCTGCTGGAGCTGAAGGTGCTGTGGGTGTTGGCGCTGGTGGTTCTGCTGGCGCTGGTGCGTGTGAGGGTGCTGGAGGTTGCGCTGTTGGAGCTAGAGGTGCTGCTGGTGCTGGTGCTGCCGCTGGGGGTACTGGTGCTGTCCCTGCTGGTTCTGCAAGCACCGCGCGGCCGCAGCCGTACTTCGTTCCGCTCCTTGAGCAGGTTCTTGGTCTCCCGCCCTCTACTGGTCCTCCTCCTCCCTTAGAGTGTCCACAGCCTGTCCAGTCGCAATCCCA